ACAGTTTGGGTTACATGGCCACACTCGCACCACTGTGGCTATCTTTAATTATCCGTTCGTGAAGGAGATGTGGTGCAGCATCGGCCTGTGCATGATGTTCCGACGATACGGTTGGTGGCTATTGCGCCGGTGTTGTAGAGGCAGCAGTGGAGCGAGCCTGTGCCGGGCAGGGTGGTGCGGTGGGCAAGGAAGAGGAGAGTGACTGTGCGCGTGGCACCGAGAGTCGCCGCGGACTCTCGGGAGGGAGCCGACACAGGCCCTCGGCCCTGGGCGCCAAGTCACGGTGGCCGCGAGCAACAGTCACGGCAGTGCGCATACAATCCAGGCGTGCACTGGATTGTATGCGGGCTGCGCCTCCAGATTCACTGAAGTCCAGTGCCACCGTCGTCATCACCATCGTGTAGCCATCATCTATGAATTGCTGGATGAAGGCCGAGTAAACATCAACAGTACAATATTGTATGACTACCGTGCGTTGTTAATATACGTAAGCATGGAGCAAACGATATCACTACGGGAGAGTGGTCATGTTAATGCATAACGAGAAGAGAGTGTGAATATACATCGAGCTGAGGTGATGGTAAGCGGGTGTTGTTGCAAGAGCAGAGACAGCGATGATAGAGCAACCATAACAACAGCAACGACAACAGCAATCACAAGAACAGATGATGGTGATGATGAGACATCGCCATCGTCTCCTTCCCCGTGCTGAGTCCGTACGGACAACCACATTATCCTCCTCCCATCATCACCATCTCTCACAGCACTGCATGGGCACAGCGTGTAGGTCATCGACACGCGTGAGGTCACACAGACATGCGTGCCCAGGTCACGGCCGCAGCGCCAAGCACGCCCAGACAGGCGCAATGTCACGGCAAGAAGTCGACAGAGATGGTCACGCAGCATCAGCAGCACGAGCGCAGTCACGGCATCAACACACTGGGCCGCGACACACACACACACGTGTGGACACCGACACGCGCGCACACGTTTAGAACACGGCATGAACACACTGGGCCGCGACACACACACACACGTGTGGACACTGACACGCGCGCACACGTTTAGAACACGGCATGAAGACCAGTGTGTGCCTGCGATCAAATCTCGGCAGATAAGCAGGGGTTTAGCCTGGCAAGTGCCTGGGTGAACGACCACCACGTTTCCATTGGCGAGGCTGTGTTCACGTGGAGTTCACCAGAGGGCAGTGCAGCAACACTTCGTTATTGTCCTGTGCTTCTATGCTCCCACCATTTATGCTCCCGACTTGGACAAACCCGCACTGACTGACCAGTGTCGTCCCAGCCACGTGGGGACGGGCCCTCGGCCAACAGTGGATCGACACCCATGGCTCTACACGTAACTGAGGACACGTGTCCTCACGACGTGAAGACACACACGCACACGCGTGTCACGCGGTCACCACACAACGCGACACAACACGGACACACATGCAGACAATGACACACAGAGTGACACACGCGTGTAGGACATGACCCAAACACAGAGATGGCGACTCTTGATGCCGGCCGGGATGCCGGATCTCCCCCCCCCACTTCTCCCAGCCTCCCGACCCCCGTCACCTTGATGCTGGACCGGCTGGTCTGTGTCTCGGCCTCGGTGCTGTGGTTCAGGGCGCAGGGCTCCCTGCGGGGCCGGCGCGTCGAGGCAAGCGCCCGGGAGCGGCAGGCCAGCACCGTGCCAGCGCCCTCCGCCTGCACGGCCAGCGAGAGCGCCGCGTCGGTCTTGAGGAGCAGGCCGTGGGGGCCCCCCCCGGAGCCCGCGGGCACCCCGCCCGACACGCTGGCCGTCTGGCGCGGGGACGTGGAATCGTCCGAATCGCGGCAGTAGATGACGCCGCTCTGCGACACGTGGATGCTGGGGGCGCAGCCCATGGGGGCGGTCGGTGGTGATGGTGATGATAGTGGTGTTAGTAGAGTGGTGACGACGGTGGTGTCCGTGATGATGGTGGTGGTGGTGTCAGTGATGATAAGGATGATGGGGTGGTGTCAGTAATGATGGTGGTGGTGGTGATGGTAGTGGTGTCAGTGATGCTGGGGTTGGTGATGTCTGCACGGATCCGTGGCGTCAGTCAGCGATGCGCTCCCCCCCCCCGCACTCCTCCTCCTCTTGCGCGCGGATCCCGGCACGCACCCCGCTCTTCCCTGGGCCCCCGGCGAGCGGGGACGAGGCGGCGACCCCGGGAGCCCGGGGCCCCGTGCCGAGCGACTCCCGTCCCTGAGCCGAGGCGCGTCCTCCTGCCGTCCCCGTCCGTCCGCTCGCCGCCGCCGCGATCTCCCCTCTCTCTTCCCGCGCGCGCGCGCGCCCTCCCCTCCTCTCCTGCTGCTTCCTCTCTCGCCTCTCCGCTCTGTCTCCCCGCGCGCTCCCCGCCGCTCCCCGTCCCCATCCCCTCCCCGCGCCGCGACCCCTGCGGCCGTGACGTCAATGCCGGCACCGCCGCGCTCCCCGGGCGCCGCGTTCACACGCGGGGGTCCGGGGAGAGCGGAGCGGGGTGGGGGAGATGGGCAGAGGACAGAGGAGACGGGATGGGGGACAGGGCACAGCGGATACAGGGGGAAGGAGGTTGAAAAATGAGGTAGAGGAGATAGGGGAGAGGGGTAGGCGGTGACAGCGCGTAGAGGATAGGGGTAGGGGATGGGAGATAGGGGATAGGGGAACAGGGGGAGAGAGAGAGAGAGAGAGGAATGGGAGACAGAGTTATACGAGAGGGGGATGGGCGGCTAGAGGATTTGGAATAAAAGAAAGGGCAGAAGGGATGGGGGCAGGGGATTAAGAATATGTTGTAGGGGAGAGAGGAGAGAGGACTGGCGACAATGGCTTAGCGGAGTGGAGACAAGGGTCGGGTGCAATGGATAGAGGGCATGCAGAGGATATGTCGTGGCGAGTATGGGATGTGGAGCGGATGGGGAATAGGGATATGAGGCAGAGGACAGTGAAAAGGGCTAGAGGAGTGGTGACAAAGAGGATTTAGGTAGAAGTTGTGGGGCCAAGTATAGATGGGAGAAGATATGGCACGCACGCCCACACACGCATGAGACAAAGATCCCCCGTATCGCATGGACAGACTGTTGGGGCAAGTGCTGTTCGCGAGCACCGAGAGACACGTATCTACACGCACATAGATACGTGGCTACACAAAGACAGACGCAGTACACGCAAGGACACAGACGCGTGAACACGCGTGTGGCCAAAGTCGTGACACCGGTGCTGAACCCGGCGCTTCGTACCCCCCCCCCCAGGCTAAAAGGGGGGGGGGGGTGGGGGTAATTTTGTCGCGAAACTCACGACGCCGGTCATGGTGGCTGTGATGCTCATGAGAGATGGATCGTGACGAGGGCAGCTTGTGGTGGTGATGCTGCTGCTGATGGCTTTAATGATGATTACGAGTCGGGGTGAGAATGGATTATGATGATGGATGATGATTAGCATGGTTGGCTATGTTCAACATACACGCATAACTGATGATGATAATGATTATGATGATGTATTGTGATGGATCATGATAATGGATCATGACGGATGATTATGGATGGTGATCAATAATGGTGATGAGCTAGGGGCCTTCCATAAATGACGTCACGCACCTAGGGGGGGGGGGGGGGATCAGGGATTTGTGACGATGTGTGACGAGGGGGGGTTTGAGAAATGTGACGTCACATCAAAATGCGCAACTTTAAACTACAATGACAATAGTTTAAAGCGATTTGAAGCATGTTTTATTTATTGGGTGGGGGGGAGCAGAGCTTTGTGACGTAATATTTGAGGGGGGGGTCTGACTTTTTGTGACGCCGTGTGACTGGGGGGGGGGGGCAGAAATCATCTAAAATCGCGCGACGTCATTTATGGACGGCCCCCTATTCCAATCCGAATGTTTTCACTGATTCATAGTGACGATTCACGTGCACGGGACTACGAGTTAATCGAGGTTCGCGTTTCCATGGTGATGCAGGTTGGCGGTCTTGATGATGAGCGGGGCTGAACGGGGCAGCACCTGGGGGGCGCGCAGTATCCGGGGAGGGGGCAGTTCCGGGGGGGGGGGTGCAGTACCTCGGGATAGCACTTTGGGGAGGAGTGTCTTTACCTGAGGGGAGGGGGGGATACAATACGTGGGGCGTAAGGCCCCAATGGGAGTACCTGGGGGGGCACAGTCAATGGGGGGCACAGTAAAAAGTCGTATCCGCGGAGGCCAGACACCTCGCACACACAAGTGCAGGTACTGTACCATGCATGTGTAGTGTCAAGATGTGTTTGCGGAACGTACTGTATTCAGTTGTGTTCACTGCCCTGCAGAGCCAGTGGTGGAAATTCGAAATTCCTATGACGGGGGCGAGTCTCCCCATATAACAACCCTTGTTGACTTCCCCACACGGTGGTACTCATGTGCTGTAATGTAGGAGTGTTGAGCTGAATATATTTGTTAATTATTTTCAATAACGTCATGGACTGGTGTAATGTATCGGCCCGTGTTGTGCAATGCGCGTTGTGTAATGATGATTACTCTGCGGTGACAGCTCCCACGTGGGTGCACGCAGGAGGCGTGGCTACGCCGCGGTCAGCCCCGCAGAGTGGGCGGTGACCAAACCAAACCCCGCCTCCAGCGAGACAGCTCGCCAATCAGAGGCCGATAACTACCAGAGTCCCGCCTCAGGGAGGGACCCGAGTGGAAACTCCGCCTTCCCCGCCGGGAATGTAATTGACCAGAAGCACCGCCCCCTGCTAGGGATCTGACCAATCAGAGGCCAATAAACTATCAGTAACCCCGCCCTCTAGGAGGGTCTCAGGCTGGAACTCCGCCCACTGAGAGATGTCTAACCAATAAGAGAACCCCTGGCTCGGGGAAATGCTCTGCCCCGAACGAGGATTGTGCGACAGAGGCCCCGCCTTGTACTTGGGAGTTGACCAATGAGAGAACCCCAGAGCCATTAGAGGCCCCGCCTTGTACTTGGGAGTTGACCAATGAGAGAGCCCCAGAGCCATTAGAGGCCCCGCCCCTACGAGGATCGTGACCAGAGGCCCCGCCCCGGAAAGGCTCCGGGCCAATCAGCGAGCGCGAGCGGCGGCCTGAGCGGCGGCCCAGATGTCGGAGCGCGAGGCGACGCGACCGCTGTTGGGACTCGCGGGGCCGCGGGCCGCCGAGTGCGGGGACCGTGGGGGCCGCGGGGGCCGGAAGGGTGAGCGAGCCCCGGGAGCCTGTGTCCTTCACCTCCACCCTCACCCGCTCGGCTGTCCACTCACCCGCTCAGCTGCTTCCTCAACCTGTCAGTCGCACCTCCATGCCCTCTCCCTTGTAACTCACCTCGTCACACTCACCACACCTCACCTCCACACCGCCTCACCTCATCACACTCACCACACCTCACCTCCACACCGTCTCACCTCGTGACACTCACCACACCTCACCTCCACACCGCCTCACCTCGTCACACTCACCACACCTCACCTCCACACCGTCTCACCTCGTGACACTCACCACACCTCACCTCCACACCGCCTCACCTCGTCACACTCACCACACCTCACCTCCACACCGCCTCACCTCATCACACTCACCACACCTCACCTCCACACCGCCTCACCTCATCACACTCACCACACCTCACCTCCACACCGCCTCACCTCGTCACACTCACCACACCTCACCTCCACACCGCCTCACCTCGTCACACTCACCACACCTCACCTTCACACCGCCTCACCTCATCACACTCACCACACCTCACCTCCACACCGCCTCACCTCGTCACACTCACCACACCTCACCTCCACACCGCCTCACCTCATCACACTCACCACACCTCACCTTCACTCCGCCTCACCTCATCACACTCACCACACCTCACCTTCACACCGCCTCACCTCATCACACTCACCACACCTCACCTCCACACCGCCTCACCTCGTCACACTCACCACACCTCACCTCCACACCGTCTCACCTCGTGACACTCACCACACCTCACCTCCACACCGCCTCACCTCGTCACACTCACCACACCTCACCTCCACACCGCCTCACCTCATCACACTCACCACACCTCACCTCCACACCGCCTCACCTCATCACACTCACCACACCTCACCTTCACTCCGCCTCACCTCATCACACTCACCACACCTCACCTCCACACCGTCTCACCTCGTCACACTCACCACACCTCACCTTCACACCGTCTCACCTCATCACACTCACCACACCTCACCTCCACACCGTCTCACCTCATCACACTCACCACACCTCACCTCCACACCGTCTCACCTCATCACACTCACCACACCTCACCTTCACACCGCCTCACCTCATCACACTCACCACACCTCACCTCCACACCGTCTCACCTCATCACACTCACCACACCTCACCTCCACACCGTCTCACCTCATCACACTCACCACACCTCACCTCCACACCGTCTCACCTCATCACACTCACCACACCTCACCTCCACACCGTCTCACCTCATCACACTCACCACACCTCACCTCCACACCGTCTCACCTCATCACACTCACCACACCTCACCTCCACACCGTCTCACCTCATCACACTCACCACACCTCACCTTCACACCGCCTCACCTCATCACACTCACCACACCTCACCTCCACACCGCCTCACCTCGTCACACTCACCACACCTCACCTCCACACCGCCTCACCTCATCACACTCACCACACCTCACCTTCACTCCGCCTCACCTCATCACACTCACCACACCTCACCTTCACTCCGCCTCACCTCATCACACTCACCACACCTCACCTTCACACCGCCTCACCTCATCACACTCACCACACCTCACCTCCACACCGCCTCACCTCGTCACACTCACCACACCTCACCTTCACACCGCCTCACCTCATCACACTCACCACACCTCACCTCCACACCGCCTCACCTCGTCACACTCACCACACCTCACCTCCACACCGCCTCACCTCATCACACTCACCACACCCTCACCTCACTCCACACCGCCTCACCTCATCACACTCACCACACCTCACCTTCACTCCGCCTCACCTCATCACACTCACCACACCTCACCTTCACTCCGCCTCACCTCATCACACTCACCACACCTCACCTTCACACCGCCTCACCTCATCACACTCACCACACCTCACCTCCACACCGCCTCACCTCGTCACACTCACCACACCTCACCTTCACACCGCCTCACCTCATCACACTCACCACACCTCACCTCCACACCGCCTCACCTCGTCACACTCACCACACCTCACCTTCACACCGCCTCACCTCGTCACACTCACCACACCTCACCTCCACACCGTCTCACCTCATCACACTCACCACACCTCACCTCCACACCGCCTCACCTCATCACACTCACCACACCTCACCTCCACACCGCCTCACCTCATCACACTCACCACACCTCACCTCCACACCGCCTCACCTCATCACACTACCACACCTCACCTTCACTCCGCCTCACCTCATCACACTCACCACACCTCACCTCCACACCGTCTCACCTCGTCACACTCACCACACCTCACCTTCACACCGCCTCACCTCATCACACTCACCACACCTCACCTCCACACCGCCTCACCTCGTCACACTCACCACACCTCACCTCCACACCGCCTCACCTCATCACACTCACCACACCTCACCTTCACTCCGCCTCACCTCATCACACTCACCACACCTCACCTTCACTCCGCCTCACCTCATCACACTCACCACACCTCACCTTCACACCGCCTCACCTCATCACACTCACCACACCTCACCTCCACACCGCCTCACCTCGTCACACTCACCACACCTCACCTTCACACCGCCTCACCTCATCACACTCACCACACCTCACCTCCACACCGCCTCACCTCGTCACACTCACCACACCTCACCTCCACACCGTCTCACCTCGTCACACTCACCACACCTCACCTCCACACCGCCTCACCTCGTCACACTCACCACACCTCACCTCCACACCGCCTCACCTCATCACACTCACCACACCTCACCTCCACACCGCCTCACCTCATCACACTCACCACACCTCACCTTCACTCCGCCTCACCTCATCACACTCACCACACCTCACCTCCACACCGTCTCACCTCGTCACACTCACCACACCTCACCTTCACACCGCCTCACCTCATCACACTCACCACACCTCACCTCCACACCGCCTCACCTCGTCACACTCACCACACCTCACCTCCACACCGCCTCACCTCATCACACTCACCACACCTCACCTTCACTCCGCCTCACCTCATCACACTCACCACACCTCACCTCACTCCGCCTCAACCTCATCACACTCACCACACCTCACCTTCACACCGCCTCACCTCATCACACTCACCACACCTCACCTCCACACCGCCTCACCTCGTCACACTCACCACACCTCACCTTCACACCGCCTCACCTCATCACACTCACCACACCTCACCTCCACACCGCCTCACCTCATCACACTCACCACACCTCACCTCCACACCGCCTCACCTCATCACACTCACCACACCTCACCTCCACACCGCCTCACCTCATCACACTCACCACACCTCACCTCCACACCGCCTCACCTCATCACACTCACCACACCTCACCTCCACACCGCCTCACCTCATCACACTCACCACACCTCACCTCCACACCGCCTCACCTCATCACACTCACCACACCTCACCTTCACTCCGCCTCACCTCATCACACTCACCACCCCTCACCTCCACACCGCCTCACCTCGTCACACTCACCACACCTCACCTTCACACCGCCTCACCTCATCACACTCACCACACCTCACCTCCACACCGCCTCACCTCGTCACACTCACCACACCACACCTTCACACCGCCTCACCTCATCACACTCACCACACCTCACCTCCACACCGCCTCACCTCGTCACACTCACCACACCTCACCTCCACACCGCCTCACCTCATCACACTCACCACACCTCACCTCCACACCGCCTCACCTCATCACACTCACCACACCTCACCTCCACACCGCCTCACCTCGTCACACTCACCACACCTCACCTCCACACCGCCTCACCTCATCACACTCACCACACCTCACCTCCACACCGCCTCACCTCATCACACTCACCACACCTCACCTCCACACCGCCTCACCTCATCACACTCACCACACCTCACCTCCACACCGCCTCACCTCATCACACTCACCACACCTCACCTCCACACCGCCTCACCTCGTCACACTCACCACACCTCACCTTCACTCCGCCTCACCTCATCACACTCACCACACCTCACCTTCACTCCGCCTCACCTCATCACACTCACCACACCTCACCTTCACACCGCCTCACCTCATCACACTCACCACACCTCACCTCCACACCGCCTCACCTCGTCACACTCACCACACCTCACCTCCACACCGCCTCACCTCGTCACACTCACCACACCTCACCTCCACACCGCCTCACCTCATCACACTCACCACACCTCACCTCCACACCGTCTCACCTCGTCACACTCACCACACCTCACCTCCACACCGCCTCACCTCATCACACTCACCACCCCTCACCTCCACACCGCCTCACCTCGTCACACTCACCACCCCTCACCTCCACACCGTCTCACCTCGTCACACTCACCACACCTCACCTCCACACCGCCTCACCTCATCACACTCACCACCCCTCACCTCCACACCGCCTCACCTCGTCACACTCACCACACCTCACCTTCACACCGCCTCACCTCATCACACTCACCACACCTCACCTCCACACCGCCTCACCTCGTCACACTCACCACACCTCACCTTCACACCGCCTCACCTCATCACACTCACCACACCTCACCTCCACACCGCCTCACCTCGTCACACTCACCACACCTCACCTTCACTCCGCCTCACCTCATCACACTCACCACACCTCACCTTCACTCCGCCTCACCTCATCACACTCACCACCCCTCACCTCCACACCGCCTCACCTCGTCACACTCACCACACCTCACCTTCACACCGCCTCACCTCATCACACTCACCACACCTCACCTCCACACCGCCTCACCTCGTCACACTCACCACACCTCACCTTCACACCGCCTCACCTCATCACACTCACCACACCTCACCTCCACACCGCCTCACCTCGTCACACTCACCACACCTCACCTTCACTCCGCCTCACCTCATCACACTCACCACACCTCACCTTCACTCCGCCTCACCTCATCACACTCACCACCCCTCACCTCCACACCGCCTCACCTCATCACACTCACCACACCTCACCTTCACTCCGCCTCACCTCATCACACTCACCACACCTCACCTTCACTCCGCCTCACCTCATCACACTCACCACCCCTCACCTCCACACCGCCTCACCTCATCACACTCACCACACCTCACCTTCACTCCGCCTCACCTCATCACACTCACCACACCTCACCTTCACTCCGCCTCACCTCATCACACTCACCACACCTCACCTTCACTCCGCCTCACCTCATCACACTCACCATACCTCGCCTTCACTCCGCCTCACCTCATCACACTCACCACACCTCACCTCCACACCGCTTCACCTCGTCACACTCACCACACCTCACCTTCACACCGCCTCACCTCATCACACTCACCACACCTCACCTCCACACCGCCTCACCTCGTCACACTCACCACACCTCACCTTCACACCGCCTCACCTCATCACACTCACCACACCTCACCTCCACACCGCCTCACCTCGTCACACTCACCACACCTCACCTCCACACCGCCTCACCTCGTCACACTCACCACACCTCACCTTCACTCCGCCTCACCTCATCACACTCACCATACCTCGCCTTCACTCCGCCTCACCTCATCACACTCACCACACCTCACCTCCACACCGCTTCACCTCGTCACACTCACCACACCTCACCTTCACACCGCCTCACCTCATCACACTCACCACACCTCACCTCCACACCGCCTCACCTCGTCACACTCACCACACCTCACCTTCACACCGCCTCACCTCATCACACTCACCACACCTCACCTCCACACCGCCTCACCTCGTCACACTCACCACACCTCACCTCCACACCGCTTCACCTCGTCACACTCACCACACCTCACCTTCACTCCGCCTCACCTCATCACACTCACCACACCTCACCTCCACACCGCCTCACCTCGTCACACTCACCACACCTCACCTTCACACCGCTTCACCTCGTCACACTCACCACACCTCACCTTCACTCCGCCTCACCTCATCACACTCACCACACCTCACCTCCACACCGCCTCACCTCGTCACACTCACCACACCTCACCTTCACACCGCCTCACCTCATCACACTCACCACACCTCACCTCCACACCGCCTCACCTCGTCACACTCACCACACCTCACCTCCACACCGCCTCACCTCGTCACACTCACCACACCTCACCTCCACACCGCCTCACCTCGTCACACTCACCACACCTCACCTTCACACCGCCTCACCTCATCACACTCACCACACCTCACCTCCACACCGCCTCACCTCGTCACACTCACCACACCTCACCTTCACACCGCCTCACCTCATCACACTCACCACACCTCACCTCCACACCGCCTCACCTCGTCACACTCACCACACCTCACCTCCACACCGCCTCACCTCGTCACACTCACCACACCTCACCTCCACACCGCCTCACCTCGTCACACTCACCACACCTCACCTCCACACCGTCTCACCTCGTCACACTCACCACACCTCACCTCCACACCGCCTCACCTCATCACACTCACCACACCTCACCTCCACACCGCCTCACCTCGTCACACTCACCACACCTCACCTTCACACCGCCTCACCTCATCACACTCACCACACCTCACCTCCACACCGCCTCACCTCGTCACACTCACCACACCTCACCTTCACACCACCTCATCACACTCACCACACCTCACCTCCACACCGCCTCACCTCGTCACACTCACCACACCTCACCTCCACACCGCCTCACCTCGTCACACTCACCACACCTCACCTCCACACCGCCTCACCTCGTCACACTCACCACACCTCACCTCCACACCGTCTCACCTCGTCACACTCACCACACCTCACCTTCACTCCGCCTCACCTCATCACACTCACCACACCTCACCTTCACACCGCCTCACCTCAGTATACTCACCTGCACTTTAATCTCCTGCCTCATCTCATCTCCTCACATCCGCAACTTTACTTCCTCGCCCTGATCGGCACCTTGGTCTCCTCACCACTGCACCTCACTTGAGTGTATCCTAATGAATACCATCACCTGTAGCCGCGCCCCTGCGTCTGTACCTTCCTACCTGCTGCTCACCTTCTCTGTCCACTCACCTTCTCCTGACTGTCCCTCGCCTGCCTTCTATCCCACTCGCCTGCCCCCGTGACAGGGAGACCTCTGTGGTTGAGGTCGGGGTTGCTCCCAGGGCCTCCCCCGAGAGCGGTAGACACGGCAGGGCCGCCAGCCTGCTGACCTCCCCATGTCCCGCAGGCCCCGGGGGGCCCCGCCCCTCCCCAGACGGGGACGCAGAGCCGCTCGACGACGACGATGGCTGCTCCCACGAGGAGGCGCTCGAGCACACCGGTGGGTGACCATCTTCTGTCCGCCCCTTCGTCTGTCCGTCCCTTCGTCTGTCCGTCCATCCGTCCTTCCATCCGTCCATCTGGGTGAGTGGATGGGTGTCAGGCTTTGCGTACAACTGCCTGCAGAGGTGACAGAGCGAGATTGTCTATGCGGCTGCGTGAGAGACGAGAGCCAACAGCTGGCAGGTGTTTGTGTTCACGGCGAGAAGACCCCAGGCGCTCCGGGTGTCCGTGTCTGTCGGTGACCTCCACCCGATCCGCGCGGCCCACAGGGTTTGGCCGTTTCCACGCCTGGCTTCTGGTGGCCTGCGGCTGGGCCAACGCCAGCGACGCCGTGGAGATCCTGTGCGTGTCCTTCCTGCTCCCAACGGCGCGCTGCGACCTGCACCTTTCCACCGCCGACATGGGCTGGCTCACGGCGTGCATGTTCATCGGTACGCGCCGCACCACGTCGCACCGCGCTGCACCACGTCGCACCGCGCCGCACCACGTCGCACCGCGCCGCGGGACGAGGCGCTCGCTCGGGTTCTCACCGCGGTGCGTTGGCCCGCGCCACCAGGTATGATGGTGGGCGGTTGCGTCTGGGGTGCCCTGGCGGACTCGAGCGGCCGCCGCAAGGTGCTCGTCTACTCGCTGGCCGTCAACGGCATCTTCAGCGCCCTCTCCAGCCTCGCCCCCAACTTCCTGCTCTTCCTGCTGATGCGCCTGGGTAGCGGCCTGGGGTGAGTTCCGCCACGCACAGCGCCGCCACCACGCACGGCGCCGCGGGGTGCCGTGTGCGGCGAGGAGAAGAAGCTGCCCGGGTCACGTGACCCCCCCTGTGACTACTGTGGATGTTGTGCAGGGTGGGGGGGTCTCTGCCGGTCATCTTCTCCTACTTCTCCGAGTTCCAGCCACGGCGATGGCGCGGCGCGATGGTCAGCGCACTCGCCACGTTCTGGATGGGAGGAAACATCCTGGCGGCCGGTAGACCTCACTCACCACGCCCACTACCACCGTGGCCTCTCCCCCACATTGCACTCCATCACCGCAACCTTACCATCACCACAGACTCGCTACCGCACCCTGACACCATCGCAGCCTCAATGTCTCATCACATCGCCACAACCTCAGCATTGCCACCTCACCATCAGACTACCACAGTCTCTCTACCGCACAGCCGTATTCCCTCACCGGCACAGACCACAGCACCCTCTTGTGCGCTGTGCCGGCCTTCAGTGGTTGATTGGTCACAGTACTTGCCCCAAGATCCCATACAGCTACACGGAGAATCGTTATCTGTGCGTGTCGCTGCATGTCACGCTTACAAATGAGACCATCCTGGTTTCTTGAGTCCTCACCTTGGTAAAAAGTCTAAATAAACTCGACGCATTTGTATGTTGTGTGCACTTGCGTGCCCGTGTATATGTGTGCACGTGTGTGCCCCGCGCCTGCGTGTCCCCAGGGCTGGCGTGGTTGATAATCCCGCTGCCGGCGCTTGACGTGTGGAGCTGGCGCGTGTTCGTCGCCGTCTGCTCCGTGCCAAGCCTCACGTCCAGCGTCGCCTTTGCATGCTGCCTCCCCGAGAGCCCCAAGTTCCTCATGCAGGTGCCTCGCCACTCGGCTCCTCTCGGCGCTCAGGTGTCCTCGCCTGTGATGGCAGCAGCAGCAGCAGCCGTCCTCTGGCTCAGCAGCTTGATGCCAATGCAGAGGTCTTCTTGACAAGAGGGCTTCAGCAGAGAATTCGTGTCGTTTTAATGTTCCTCGTCCTTGGCTGAAGGAGCGCAGCACCCACGGTGGGTTTACTGTGCGGTCCAGAGTTTGGGTTGCATGGCCACAATCGCACCACTTTGGCTGTGTCTTTAATTTTCCATCTAAGATGGAAATGCGGTTGATCAATTCCACCGGTGTCTTCGAGGAGGAATGTCAAAGCCAGGAGATGTGATGTTTGGGTCTCGAATGGGGTATTCATTCCGATGCAGAGGTTGAGTGGCTGTGATAGTGGGCAGTAGTTGGACAGCATTGGTGAGTGCGACCAGGTGGTGCAGAGTGTTGATGCGTAGGTGGTGTGAGTGGGTGGGGTGTGAATCTTGTTCATTTGTATGCCATTTGAAAAGCAACAGAAGAGCTTATAGTGGGTGGTGAGTAATCGTGAGTGATCAGTGAGTGGTGGGGTCGATGAGATGTGAACGTTGGTACGTGAAATCTGTGAGTGCTGACTGGTGAGTGATGAAGAGTGGTGGTGTGGGAGCAGTGAATGTTGGTAGATGGTGTCACCGAGTGGGAGCATGTTGGTTCATGATGTCGTGAGTGGTGAGCGTTTGTACATGGTGCCGGTAGTGGTGAGTGATAACAGTGGTGGTGTTAGTGTGCCGCTCTCCCTGGTCACCTCTCCCCGTTGGTGTTGCCCCCAGACGGGGCAGGAGGAGGCGGCGCTCGCCGTATTTCGCAGGATCTTCACTCACAACCACCGCAGCATGCCTGGCGCTCGCAGGACCTTCCCGGTTGGAGCAGCACACTCACCCCCTCGCTCGCAGACACGCTGACTCACCCACTCACTCGCCTAGACGCTCACATACTCTCGCTTTCTTTGGTCCGGCGACGGCACCACTGCCCCCTCGCCCTGCACTCCAGGTGAGCCGGCTGGAGGTGAGCATCTCGGACCGGCACGCGGTGAGCGTCCCCTTGGGGATCCTGGCACAGGTGGCGTACTACTCGCGCATGGTGAGTACCGTGCACACACACACGTAGCCAAGTGAGTAACTGCTGGGCTCTTGGAATGCGCAGCAATCTGTGCTCATGTGCAATTGTGTGTCTGTCCGTGACTTGTGTACATGCGTGTGTGTGTGTGTACCCATGTGTGTATGCAAAACAACCCCCTACCTCCTCGCAGTGCCGGATGGGCAACTCTGTCGTGGACAGTGCTGTGCGGGGAGGACCAATTCCGATTGGCCTCTCCCCTCATGGTGTCTGTGACCACCACAGTGGCTAAACGGGGGCTCTGGACGGGTGCGAGGGGCTGGTAACCCCTCCACCTTCAATTAATTACCACTAAACCACGACTTAAATATGTAACTAATAAGCTTGTGCCGGAGGCCCCGGGGGGACAGGCGTCTATGACGTCTCCTGGCCAAACCCCAATTGGCGGAGCCAAACTCAACGTTTAACCTACTCACGCCGGCCTGTGCCTGCCCTCACAGTCGGGCATATTTGCGGAATACACCACGCCGCCGTTGACCCTGGCCATTGACCGAGCAACCCAATGTTCCTACCAGCTCCCTCCGCAGGAATGTGTTTTGGTGGGGCTGATGGTAAGGCCCCACCTCTTAGTGCCATGCTCCAGTTTCAGCAGCAGCGTCTCCAATTCCTCCTCTGAATGAGCAGCTATTACCAAATCATCGGCATACATAATGTGGTTGACCAATAGGGAGCCATCCCTTGACCACACCCGGGCATCGGTCAGCCTCCCATTATATCTGTACCAAATGGAAATTCCGCTGGAACAGCTATTGAAGGCTTCACGTACTACGTGGTCAAAATAGATGTTAAATGTGGGAGGACATCCCTGTCACACCCCAAGGTGTACAAGGAATGGCTCTGACTCCCGGCCACGTAGTTTTACCAGGGCCCGCTCACCATCATGAAGGTCCTTAATGATCGTGAGCAGAGGTTCAGGGACTCCGAAAGCACGAAGAACAACCCAGAGCCCAGGCCTACTGATGTTATCATAGGCCTTGACCAGGTCAATAAAGCAGAGATGTAGGTCTTGTTGGAATTCCCTACACCTCTGTAGCAGACGGAAAGAAAATATGGCATCTGTGCAGGACCGCCCTTTCCTGAAACTGCATTTGGGCTCCGCAAGCCTCTCCTCAGCGTGCCTAGCAAGGCGATGTTTAATAATCCTTGCCAGGACCTTTCCCAGCACACTGAGGAGTGAGATGCCCCTGTAGTTGTTAGTCTGTGCAGTCCCCCTTCTTAAAGAGGAAGACCACCAGGGCATCCTTCCAATCCTGCGGAACCCGTCCAATGGTCCAGACTTGTTATGATGTCATGTAGGGTAGTCTGTGCACAAACGCCACCCTCCCTTAGCATTTCGCTTGGGAGATCATCTCTGCCCAGTGCCTTTCCTGGTCTCAGACTCCGGATCGCCTTCAGTACTTCCTCAACAGATGGCACCTCAGCCAGCCACTCACAGGGGGTGACTGCTTCCAATATTTGAGGCACCGCAGCCTCAGCAGGTTCATCCCCACTTTGTGCCACGATGTTTTCCTGGCTGAGGGATTTCTCCTCCCCCAGGACCTCACAGAAATGCTCAGCAAATCTGCAAACCTGTTCCTGGGGGTCAGAGATTGGATCACTGTTTTTTCCCCTGGGCAGTGCGCTCATGATCGGCTCCAGTTTAACAGCAGAGGTCTCACTCCGAATCAGTCGAGCGGCAATATATTTTCATCGGTTGCGTAACGCTGTGTGGAAGCTACCTGGTCTGTCGCTCCGCATTAAGCTTCAGGTCTTCTCGGCCACAGTCATTCCCTCCCTTCTCAACGCTTGCGAAACGTGGACCCCCCTAATGAAACATCTTCGCCGGTTAGAAACATTTAGGCTAGCCTGCCTACGATCCATCCTGGGTTTAACCAGGCTGGATTGTGAGCTCACAAATCCTTGAAAGATCTGGGCAAGCTCCCATCGGTGAGCTCCTCCGGCAGGCAAGGCTGTGTTGGCTGGGTCATGTAGCCCGCATGCCCAGCCACCGCAGGCCTAAACAGCTTTTGTTCGGCCGGATCGAGGGGGCTAAGCGGGCGTGGCACGGGCTAGAGAAGAGATGGAGTGATGTGGTACAGGAGGACGTGGAGCTGAGTGGACTTGCCAATGACTGGTACCAGCGGTGTCAAGGTCGGCCTCTGTGGAGGAGGCTCATGAAGAACGCTACTGGGCAGTTGGAGGCAGTCGCCCTCCAACAACGGAGGGTGGAGGAGCGACGCTCACAACAATGAGCGGAGCGCCGGGTGGCTAAAGCGCAGCAAGTTAGCACAGTAGGGGGCACAGGTGGTGCATCAGCCAGTCATCTCGGTCATCTGTCAGTCGACCCGTGGCACCTGGGTCTGCCCCGTGACCTCCCGTCAGCGGGCGTTTGACACTTCGTGGCCTCAAGGTGCATGTGCGCCTGGCACAGGCGTCGTGGTGACGTCACCGCCATTTAGTGTCAAATGGCGGTTGTATGCAAGCCTGCGTGCTGGTCTGTGTGCATGCATGCGTGCCCGAGTCCCCGAGTGCCAATGCCCATGCTGCATACTTTGTGTGAACATGTCCTCATGTCCCCACCTGCCCGTGTGTCAAGATGGTCGGCCGCCTGCGCAAGATGTTCTGTGGGTCACTTGGGAGGCGCAGCTGGGCGCTCTCTGCCATCTTCTTCTCAATCTCCTTCGGGTGTGACCACTCACCTGACACCTCACCCCACCCCATTAAACCACTCACCCAACCACTCACCCGTGTGTGCATTGCAGTGGCGAGGTCCTCGTGTACTACGGCAGTGGTTGCCAAGTGGAATGTGGTTTGGTGTGGTGTGGATAATACATACTATGGAGTGTTGGTGGTATGGTGCAGGTACTATTGGCTGTGGTGCAGTGCAGGTGCGATGGGCTGTGCGCTGATGGTGTGGTGGTGCAGGTACTATGGGCTGTGGATGTGGCTGCCTGAGTTGTTCAGGAGGAGCGAGGAGTACGGAGGCTCTCCCTGCTCTCCTCCCCGCGGTAACCACACGGATGTTGCCAGTACAGGCAACTGGACATTCTGTTACCCCGTCAAGACAATCGGTAAGCTCGCCAGACCCATATACTGTGGGTACTGTGTGCGTACCTTATAGCCTGCCGGCTTGTAATTGTGCGTGCTGTGCATTTATGCAGTGTACATGGACGGGTTCATCACAGCCGCTGCCAACCTCCCTGGGAACATCCTCAGCATCCTGCTCATGGGCCGTGTAGGGGGGCGGCTGCTGCTGGGTAAGGGTGCCTGCGGTGATAGGGGCTGTGGGGTAACAGCTTGTGTGGTGCAGTGGTTAGCCCACTGGGTGCTAAATCTGAACAGGTCATGGGCCACCCAGTCTGGCTCTTATAAAGTGGTGCCTCACCACGCACCCCCTGCCTTCACAGCACTTGCCCCAGCAGCCTGTTGAGGTAGATATTCTGGGGACCTGTGTGCAGGGGCAAGCCTGCTGCTCTCCGGAGGCAGCGTGTTCCTGCTGTGGGCTGTGCGCACGCGGCTGCAGAGCTTGGCTGCAGCGTGCCTCTTCAGCGCCATCTCTGTGGTGGCATGGAATGCGCTGGATGTCATTGGCATCGAGATGTACCCCACCATGCTACGGTGACCACCCCCCCCCCCCCCCCAACTCAATGTATTTTTTGGATTAGGGCAGCATCAAGTCCACCATCTGGCTTAGTCACAAATGATAAAAATCACTTTTGAGTGTTCAAGTCACCCTTTATTCTTTCAGCTCACCAAGTTGAATTATCACAACCAACATTTTGCAAACATTAGCAATAACCCAACAGTTGCATTTAAAGTTGCACTTTATTTCGAAATGCCAAGGCGGTTGTTTTTGCTCAGGATTTCTGCTTCACTTTGTACTTGCTTTCAACATTTAAAAAGGCCATCCCTGGTCTCTTGAAGTCCTCACCTTGAACTGCATCCCAGGATGAGCACATCTGTTCCATTAGTCACTAAGGACATTGGCCTTGGATTATGAAAGTGGGCAGTAATTGGCCACAATTTTCTTTTTTTTCCCTGCCCTTTCCATCTCAGAACGTTAACTCCAACATGCTGGGTTATTTTACCAACTGCAGCACCCATCTGTGCAGTACCAAGTTTCCACTTCCTGGGTGCCGTTCTCTGGTCTGTGCTGCAGCGACCTGCTCATGCCATGCATGTGCTTTGCAGGTCCAGTGCGCTCGGAGTGTTCACCGGGGTGGCACGCATCGCTGCCATACTTGCCAGCCTGCTGTTCGGCGCGCTGCTGGAGACCAGCTGCACCGTGCCCATCCTGCTCATCGCTGCACTACTCGTGTGTGGCAGCGTCGTGGGCTTGTGCCTGCCTGAGACCAAGAACTCAGAGCTGCAGTAGGGAAGGGCAGGGCGGCGTGCCTTCTACACCAATCACTTGCACTTTGTGACCGTTGTCAGATTTCCACTTTTGTAAACTTGACACTCGTTTTTACATTCCATGTAAAATAAAATCTGAGTGAATGCGTCGAGACTTCTCACTTGGCAGTTCTGTCTCTTGGAGTCTGACATTGACAGTCATCCCATTCAAAGTTCGATGTTGAACTTGTTTTGCACCGGGGTGTAGCCAAGTGCTTATTGGAGGTGCACAGGGAAGGACAAACTAAACCCAGAAATCAGGGGAGCCAATTAGTAGAAACATTCCAATTTCCACACCAGTGGTGATGTCACCCCCACCAGGAACCCCACCAGTACAAACACTGCCATGCTAGTCACCACGCAGACTTTTTTTTGCATTTTATTTTGCTTCATGTGCGAGAAACGTCCTTCAGAACCCAGAACTAACGTCACCAAACCGTGAGGTAGAAGAGCTGCAAATCAAATCGCGCTCTTGAACACTTTAAACAAACACTTAAGTATTCTGCATCTGGCAAAATTCAAATATTTTTTGTATATAAACAATCAACTTTTTTCTCATATATCTCTCCCCCCCCCCCCCCTGCCCCACCCTTCCCTCAAAGCTTAAACAAAAGCTTAAAAAGCAAACTTTGTAAACGAAGTGGCAAAAATGTAACTGTTAAGGCTTAATAATATTCAGCACGTCTTCCGGTCTACTAAAAAAATCAACCAAAACAAACCAGGGTCAAAGTGGTGCATCGCGTGGGCCACGTGTAACAGTGGCGGCGGCCAGGAACCCCCCCCCCCCTTTCCCAACGCAGCCCTGCAAAAACATCTCCCTGTGCAAATTAAAACGTGCGTCTTAAAAGGAAAGCACGGCCGCCACGCGCGGCCGCCACGCACGGCCACATAGATTCCCCATCCCGCCCTGGTCACCCCCACCATCATCACCGGTTCCCACTGCGTCGCTGCCAGGGAGCGGACCACCCCCCCCCTGCAGGCGAGGGCCCGACTTGCGGTTTAAAAATGAACGTGTAAAATGAAGCCAATCGTCATCATCTGTGAACAGAAGCCGATAAAACTGGGAGCCACTGTACTCGAGACGGCTGTGGTCATGGTTAAGAAATGCTCAAAAGCCTCCGAACTACTAATTTCTTCTTTTCCTCGTGAACGCCATTTCCACCGATAGGCAATACGTATAATATATAACTTTCAAGAGTTGAATTTCTTCCTGAGTGAGCAAGCAGAGACTACGAGGCTTGGCATGCTGCGGTTTACGTTTTGGTTGCTCGTTTAGAGTCGGCGTTAAGGAGCCGCCGACAGAGGTTGAAGCGCGCTAAAATTCAACGCTACACTCGCAGCCGGTGGGGTTTCCTTAAAGTGTTAAAAATATGGCCGAGTCTCGTCGTGAGCTGCATTGAACTGTACGCGGAGACCCAGGGGAACCGAGCGGCACCACCGTCGCCACACACCCCACGCACGCACGCGGGCATGCGTGCGTGGGCGCAGGCGGGCGGCAGCACCGGAGGCTGGGGCGCCCCCCACCACCACCACCTCCCTGCTCAAATGAAGTCGCGGCTCTTCTGGTTGCGCATGAGCGGCTGGTGGTGCCGCAGTGTCTCCAGGGAATGTTGCCAATGCCAGCAGGACTTGCAGAAGTACTTGAAGCAAGCCTGGGGGAAGAGCAGCCAAGGGACCACACCCCCTCATCAACTATGTTTGAGAATCGCACCGTTTTTATAGCGCAGGACTATCACCTAGGTGCTGCGTTTCACGGATGGATAGTCTTCCAGTAGGGGGCAATGCTGTCGTGTCATCCCATTTAGTAATTTAAAAAAACTGTCAAATTTGGGCTGACAGCACAAAAGCTTACTACCGATTTCAAATTATCCCACAGGATATTTAGTGTTCTCTGTGAAGCAGATGGCATGTAGGGTTTTATGGTTGATACGCACACCGCAATAACCAGGGAGGCCTGGATACAAACTGCAAACCTCTGCAATTAAGCGGGGAATTTGGTAGCACTGGGCCTTGTCAGAGTCGAGACATTTCGCAGAACCACATTCGCAAACATATATTAAAACACACTAATGCGAAACGGGACTGTACCATCTCACGGCAGAAGTAAGGGCCAGCCTGCGAGCAGCACAGCTGGCAGATGGACTCTTCCAAATACGGATCCACCTGGAGCTGCAATGAGACACGCACAAACGCGAGGGGTCGACACCAGCGCAATGCAGAGCCTCACCCACTCGTGGCACAGGCAATGTGGCAAGAGCAGACAAACTGGGTGGGGGGGCAGCTGTGGGGAGCACCAACAGACCTTCTTGGTGAACTTGGGCGTCTTGATCTCGATGAAGGCAGCGTTGACGGCCTTCATGTAGCTCTTATGATTGTTGAACGTCACACGCCCCGAACCTGCAACACGATAAGGGGAGGTGGCGCACGTCACGCTGGGCGTGCCAGAACCACATGACAGGGTACGCAACGCACAGACGGCGTGTGGACGCCGTACAAGGGGGCAGGGGTATGGCTAAATTACGCCACAGGGACAAGTCTGAGAAATGATCACACGCAGCATCAGCTCGCAGGAGCGGCATCGCCACACATCCAGAAGTGGACCAACACTGGCGAACCCCACGTGTGCATGCCCACCACACCAATCCTGGATACGACAGTCGTAGCGGCATGCGAGCACGCCCGAGTGAGCAGGATGCTGCGAACGCAGTAGCCAGAGTTAAATTCCCATTCACAGCTGGAATTCGTGACATACGAACTGGTCTCAATTGGCTGCGCGTCATGGACTACTTGCAGGGATGTGTAAACATCAGCAATGGGCAAAGGAAGCCCCCCCCCGCCCCCCATGTTCCGTACCATCCTTAATAGGTGCTTGCTAACAGCACTTTTTTGAATAGTTCATTATGGCCATTCTCTTGCGCATGGGCAGCAATGTTCAGGAGCTAAATTCCAACATTGGAGGGTCTCAGTCACAAAGAGGGAGAGTTAAGTGTTGTGCTGTTTCTCCTCAATTAAAGGAGGCGACAGTGGTCCACTAGACAGTTCGTTTAGGTTGCATGGCGACAGTTGCACTACTGTGGCTTGCGACTTCTTTAAATTTGGAGGAGCTGTGCCCATTCGCCTGATGATGTTCAGATGCTGTTGGTTACACCAGTATTTTCCGGAGAGCCTTGTAGGAGCAAGAGTGCGTGGGGATCGTCACCAATGGGGTAGCGGTGCTTGTCCGTGTCAATGCCAGCGTAGACGACACCACCAAACAGGTCGTTCATGATGGTGGTGAGGCCCTCTGCATTGAGCATGCCGTGCAGTGCACCCACAAACACCGTCTTGCTCGGGTCCAGGCGCTGCGATTGACTCCGCACGTAGTTGCTGTCCGACAGCACCCAAGGGATCACTTGCACCTGCGGCAGGATGGTGGGGGGAGGGCCAGGTCAAGGGGAGGGCGGGCATCAAGTCACGGTTGGATGAATGTTTCCCTGCAGCAGTAAGTTAACCGAATATACTTCACTTCCCTGGACTGCCGAAGGTAGCAAGCACAGATGGAGCACTGAAAGGTACCGCTGTTCTGGCAAACTCACTTGCGATGCACGCCAATTCACGCATGGGAGAAGCATAAACAAGTTACATGCATTATCAAATAAACAGAACCATACAAACAAGGAGAGAAACAAGCAAAGCAACTGGAAGGCATGCAAGACAGAATTAGTTCCTCCAAATAACCACGACCATGAATTGACTGATGATTTGAATCAGGCTGTGGGGGGGGGGATGGGTTACAAAAGATGAGTGGAGACGCGCTTCAGGGTGAAAGGAGAATAACCAAGGTGAGCATGGATGATCTGGCTTTGAAACAGTGGCGGTGCAAGACGACGAGCTCCGAGATGACATTGGGGACGTGGGATGGATATTGCAGTGCGAGATGAAAATTATTTGAATTGTGGAGGAGCGGGTAGGGAGACTCATTAAGACTCACGTCACAATTCAGGGTCCCCCCAATTGGGGTCCCCCCCCCAACTGCGCGGCACTCCCACGTCCCACATCCCCCTCACCTCCTTGCAGCGCATTCGACGCGACGACACCTTGTAGTAATAGTCTCCGCAGCCGTCGCTGCTGCGGAAGTCGTGGGTGCAGGCCTGGAGCAGCGCACGCACCGACTTCTCAGACTCAAACAGGATGTACACATAGCCTGCGACACGCACGTAGGTACAGGAGCGCACGCATAGACGGACACGTGTCAGTGAGGGACAAACCCAGGCAAGCCGCAGCTCGTAAGGAAATGGTTGGTGGTGTCGCTCGCTCCACAAATTCAAATTCCCATCATCCATCCATCCCCCTCCCACCAGGTTCAATTGGGTTAGCGGGAGAAGGGCGAATTGTATTCTTTTACCACCTGCACCATGGTTGCGGAACACCACAGCCAACACAAGTTCATTCATGATAACATGGCCAAACACCACTCGCGCACACTGCTCCCAACACCCACCACTCGCGCTTCCCCTGGCAGCAGCTCGAACAACCCCTGCACTGTGAATTCAACCATTGTTAGTAATACATCGCGATTTTAAGTCAAACACCGAAATTATCTTAGTACGTGTGGAAACTCCAACTCCCCCCCCCCGCCACTACATATACAAATTTAGTTTGCTTGAACGTATACAGCGATGGCTATAACAACTTCAACTACATACTCGAAATGCAAAAAGCAGAGTCTGCATCAATGGGATCTAGACTTGTCGAATGCCACCTCAAGGAATGGAGGGGGGGGGGGGACCCCCTTAGACCTTCCCAAACTCACCCAGAGGGGGGGACAAGAGGCAATTTGTCTTGGGCCTCAAAGAGGCCGCCACCAAAGACCAGTTTTTTTGCGACCGTCGCTTGTAATTCAGGGAACACCATGTGGGAATTCTGCCAGTGATCTCCAGTACTTAGGCCCAGAAAACTCTGGCTTGGTCTTAGATACCCCTGCCTCCCCCTCTGGGACCGTAGATGCCGCCGCCGCCACCACTACCCCCGTGCTCACCGTGCAGCGATGACGTCACACTGTGCAGCACCACATCATGGGGGTGAGCGGGGAGGTGGCAACAAGTAACAGAAGAGTTCATACCAGAGCCTCTGCACACATTACCTTTGGGCATATTACCTTTGGGTGGGTAGCGCGGGTGTTTGCCATCCTTACCCGGCCACTCCACACTCACCGAACCAAACATCTTGAAGCAATTGATGAGGCCGGCTGTAAAGAGGCGAGACAACATAATGAGGTCAGCGCGTCACAAACAAGACGGACGTGCTGGCAAGGGGCCCCCCCCCTTGCCACCAAACACCAGGGCCGGCCACCACCACAGCTGGCCCCCACTGACCGCCGCAGTGGTCAGATGTTAACTGCCTCGCCTGGTATACAAGATGTTGTGGGTTCGATTTCAACCCTGACGCCTGTGTATTTGGAGTTTGTGTGTTCTCCGTGGTAGTGTGAATTTTTATAAAGGTCCTCTGGGTTTTTCCCCTCCACATTTAGAAATAGGCATTTCATCTCTACAATGTACTTCATTGGGCTATCAGTTGTGGCCAGGTCGCTTCTGAAAAAGCAGCAATATAGCTCGGTGGGCCTTGCCTGGTATAAAATCAATAGAGCTCAACTGTCTGCCAATAATCTTCACCCGATTCCACCACTTATGTTGAGCACTCGGGTCTACCAGACTTTTGTCTCATCCATTGTTAAACCACCACACGCGTTACAGGAAGGGTTGGCGTGGTTAGCACCACACCAGGCTGCCTTCATCTCCCCATCACGGACGTTCACACAACAAGCTCAAGGCCATGTCCACCAAGGGTAGGGCCAATGAATGGTCCAGATATCTGCACCGGGAGCAAAGTCCCAAGCGCCGACCGCTGCGGCCCACGGCATCGCCAGCGTAACCACGTGCTACCCACGGACGCGGCGTACGAGGGCACTTGCGTCACCCACGACTTGGTCGCAGGGAGACGGGTCTGAAATAGTAGGGGGCAGGGTAGGGGGGGGTTGCGTACCTTCGGTGATGTCCCAGGGAACGCCACCGAGGAACACCTTGGGGGAGAAGATGGGACTCTTGTGGCTGCGTGGGGGCAGCTGGCCGCTCCACGTGCACGTCGCCTCGCTCACCGCTGCACACCGCACACACCACATTGCCCTCTCACAAAGCACGCCATGACGCACGCGGATGCGGTGCAACGCATTGCACGTGGTGTAGTGAATAGGCCACGTTCCACACCGCGGGGTATTGTACCCCATGGGCTTGTGCCACATGGTGCACCCAACACCCTGCACATCCACCAACCCCGCAACCTTCCCCCGTACCCCAAGACTGCGCACATCTTCCAGTCTCATCGGCATGCTGGCCGCTACTTATTAGTTTGCCAAGATCGTTCCTACAGGGTCCTACAATTGCCACGAGAAGAGGCCCTTGCAGCAATGGCGCCACTGGTGAACGCGACGGGTGCAGCGGGCGAGCGTGGCGTCATGCGGCCGGTTGCCGTGGCGGCCACATCGCGATTCCACATCACGCGTCGTTGCGGGTGCCACGTGGCGAGACGGATTACGGCCGGAGGAGCCACGAGAAGA